ACAGAAAAGGACCCGTCCCACACCTGGAGTGGTGAGCAGCAAACAGCTTCCAGACATGAATCAATGCTGGGAATCAGGAATCATTTGAATAGTGACAATAGCATGATGAAACCTGACAACTTCCAGAGAAATGGTGTAGAGGTACACAAATTTTTTCACTTGTGTTCACATACATCTGGTTGTGGTCTTTTGTGAACTGGCTGAATCTCAGTTCCAATACACATGAGATAAATCAAACTTCTGCATTGAGCTTGTATTGACTACATTCAAATTCAATCTCACACTTCTATACTAGAGTATAACACCATGGAGGTAAGCCTGTAATTCCTCTGGAATTGCTTTACTGCATGTCAATTTGCAATGAAATCTTGTATCAACTCTTTGGTATTTCAGGGCCATTGAAATTTTGTATAGAAGCAAGATTTTTCAAATCAGACTAAAGGCAAAATTTTGGTTGATGTCATCTAGACTCCCAGAACATTTTCCAAATACTTATACAAGTCTATGAGGCTCAGCACACATCAAGTTCTGCAGTGTCTATCCTGTCTCTCAAACCCTGTTCTCCACAATCACCAAAGCCCAAACTCACCATGCTGTCTCAGCAGATCCCTACAGACCCCTGCAGATCATCAGGATGAGTCAGGAGGAGCTGTGCACATCAGCTGCTCCTCAGTTTGGGTTACAGTCAGTGTGGACAGGCCGAGCCCAGCATGCCTCCCATGCTGCCACAGCTTCTCTGCCCGTCCTTGCAGACAGAGAAGACCACTACAAGCTCAGTCTGTTTTAGATGGGACTCTGCAGCTCATTCACAGGGTTCTGCTGCAGGATTACAGGCAGTCTGAAGTTGCCTTAGTGCAAACGCTAAGTTAGGGGGTTCCTACACTAAGTAATATGGTTTTGTCAAGCCAAGATGTAGGCAGTGTTCTAGTTTACATCTTGTTTCAGTCATTTGAAGTATTGAGACAGACATACAAATGGATGGGGCTAGCCAACTACAAAAAGTGAATTCATGAATGAAAGATGACTATGGGAGGTTATGTAACTTTTCCTACCCAGGAAGGTTTCAAATCACGCTGCAGTGAAATGCAGCTGGCTGACTTCTGGCCCTCTTCCCTTCCCCATGTCCTGTGCACTACTGCTGGAAGACAGAATGACTGCATACAGCTAAAGTTTATGACTTCTACTTAAATAGAGTAAATTCAATTATTATGTAGACATTTTTGAGAGATCCACGTCTGTTAGCTGGAGGAAAGAGACTCCTTATCATTGACCAAAGGATAAAAGAAATCAAAGAATTGAGGGTGTCTGAAGGTCACACAGGTAGGTTACACTTACAGGAAAGCTATTTCCCTTGTGGTTTGTTGCTCAAGATTATTATTGTAAAGACTTATCTCTATACTTGCATCTTTTCCCACCAGATGTCCCAATTAAATTGTTGTAAATACAAAGTAATTAGAGAAACAAAGCACAACAATTCTAGACACTGTGAGAAGATGGTAAATTCACAAGCTGAGATGTGTTAAGTTTGATTGCTTAACTATTAGTGACATAGATGTGCTAGTTGTCATCACATTGTTTGTGCTGAATCTGAACATCTAATCCCTTCCTCGGGCCTTTCCCTAAAGCAGTGGGATCTTGCTGAGAAATATCTCAATGCAGCTTGATCCAGCCAAACAGGAGAGAAGAACTGGCTTGTCTTTCTCCTGAGACGAGCTGACGCAATGCTGAGGGGCCCTGGCACGACCTTGGTGCCCAGGCAGGAATGACTGGAGGGTTTTACCATCACACAGCATGAAAAAATGATACACAGCCCTGTATCACAGGTGCCAAGGTACTCCTTTGTAGAAAGACCCCTTGGATAAAATCTATGGAAATGGACTGCAGAAGCTAGGAAGATTCTGAATCAGATTGCGCCTCGCAGGACTTAGCTTCAGAAATTGCAATGCAGAAAACAAAACATTTTGCTCTGCAAAGATATTTACCATGTTTGAATTTTATTATAAGTTAGTCAAATTGAATAACCAGATAACAGAACAAAACCAGTCATGTGTCCTGCAGATCCTAAGAAAACAGGTCTATCCTGTTTGGTAGGACTTTAAGTACAATATTGCATAATTCACAAGTGAACCAAATGAAACATTTCTCAGGAATTTTTGGCAATACTTTTTTGCTTGATATTCACCACAGGGGGTAGAAACCAGCCAACATCTAATCACCCATACAGCCACTTACTTGCTCCCCATGCACAGCGGGAGAGATTAGGAAGTGCAGATAGTTTAATAATGAAAGGATGAGGTGAAGGTGGACGGAAGTGTTGCACAGGCTCACCACCTGCTGCAAACAGATTGATGTCCAACCAGCCTCCAGGCAATAAGCACCTTGGAAGACAACCCTCACTCCACCTCCTTCTTATGCTAGCTCAGTTTTATTGATGAAAATGACATTATATCATATGGAATTTTCCTTTGGAGAACTCAGGTGAATTGTCCTTGATGTGCCCCTTCCCAGCCACTTTTCCACCCAGCCTCTTCCATACAGTGTGAGAGCTAAGTGTGAGCAGAGAAAGTCATGACATTGTGGGAACACCCTTCACCAATACCCAGAGGATGGGAATAAGAACACAATGCATGCTGCTATTAATAAATTTAATCTATCCCAGATAGATCCATAACACCAATAAAGATTTTTTAACACTTCTTGACTAGTATGAACTCTTTTCTGCATTCAAATTGGGCAGAATCCAGCTGTGCCTTCTGCCCAAGTCAAATGACCAAGACAGTGATCATTCACTACTGAATCATTCATTTCTACTTCACTTTTTCATCCTAGTCATGCTCAAAGGAGACTCTGGTATTACTTTATACTGAAGTATTTTTCTCTATAACTCAAAAGGTCTGGTGTCTATCAATGAGTTACACCTAGGACATAGTTTTATGCAGCATTCTTAATCACAGCAGGGTTAATATCCTCAAAAATGTGACAGTATAAACTTTTCCATGGCAATGTTGTAAGTCTTCCTAATGGAATTTACAGCAATTTCTGTTATTAAATATCTCTACAGTGTTACTTTGGATCTCCTTGACCTTTGTTTACACAGGTCATACACTCCAACACAGACAGATTCTCTGCTGAATACAAGTCACATGACTATGATGTTTGTGCAGGAAATTATTTTTCCTGACCCATAATATTTTTTATTATTCAAGACCAAGACAAAGCAATAAAGTCTGCAAAATTCACACAGCTAAATCTAAAGGAACAGAATCTGTTCCTTTTTGATTTTCATTTTGAATTTCCATTTCCATTGAAGCCTAAAGTTCTTCAAAATCTTCTCACTTTTTTGAGAAAAAAAATACTAGATAGCAAGCTTCCAGCAGAAAATTAAATACAGCATAGAGCTTGTCCTTTTCCATCAGGGTCTTGTGTTTAAACCCTCCTTTTTAGTCTTGCTTATATACCAGTCAAAGATATATGTAAGTTGCTCAACAGTCTATCAGCTCTCAAGCCCTCAGATTCCTCTTGTGTCTATGAGGAAATAACCAATCCCACACACTGGAGTCATGGAGTTCAAAGTGTTTTAAACACATCCTCAACTCCTGCAACCCAGAACCTGGTCCAGAGACAACTTTATTAACACAGTCATACATAAAGGCAGCTGTTGAGGAAGAAGGAGGTGAACCTACTCCTAGCAATAAAATGTTTAGATTTTTTTAATCTAGCCTAAACATTTGGACATGGATTGATTTGCTGTAAGGTACAAAAACACACAGAAATGATCACATGTCAGTAAGTAGGCTGTTTTCAATAATAGGTGACAGCGTCATTCCTTTAGCAGCTGTTTCAGACATTGCTGTGTACTGCAGTCCTGTCCTGCATAGTTCAGCTGTGTGAGGTATAGATCATCTTTCTCTGAAATGAAATTTTTTCTGATCATCAGTCAGAAGTACATTGGATACAAGCTAATAACCCACAAACACTTCCATACACATTAAGCAATAGCCATAAAGAGCTCCCCAAGTGTGAGAAATATTAACCTTCTTTTCCTATTTATGCACATTTCCTTTCAGATTAGAGGTAATATGGTCACAAAACTGCACACCCTGAGATAAAAATCATAAGTCAGTCTGTGGACTGGTGTTTCCAGGCCCCAAAGCTATCCACTGGGATTTAGCAGAGCGAAGCTGGGACCAGTGTTGGTATCAGAGGGCCAGGGAGGTTACAGCTGCCCTGCTGTGTCAGTGCTTCATGCAGCTTTCTCATGTTGCACTGGTACAGCAGGAGGTCTAATATAGCTCCATATTGCTTAGGGAAAGCTCCTCTCTTACCCCTGAGAGGTTTCACCTACTTTTGCAAGCTATATTCTCTAAGAAGTTCTCAAATGTGAAGAGATTCTTCTGATAGGGCATCCAATTTGGAAGGAAAGGGACAAAGGCACTTGATGTCCTCCCAGTTCTAGAGTGCTTTTAAAGAGCTGTCTCCTGAACTGCAGGAACCTCTGCAAGTTTACTGAACGGGCAGTGCTGTAACATCAGTGGTTTCAGTGAGACACTGCTCATACCCATCTCCTCTCTGCCCCAACACAGACTGATACAGGCAGGCAGCCAAAGGGCTCTTGCAAAATGCCTTTGTGTATAAGGAACATGGGAAAAGCACAGTCTGAAGTGATTACACAGTAACTGTACCGATAAAGTTACAGAAAGTGAATTTCCCTATGACACTGTGGTTTCACTACTGGAATAACATAAAAAGAGAGAGACAAAGCTGGCTGCTAGCTGTGACGTGACATCAACAGGGAAGTTACAGCAAAGATTTGTTTAAGGTGATTTCATTTACTTCTTAAAGCATTGATGACATTACACTAACAGAACCAAAAAGTGACTCACATGCGTAATTGCTGCTTGGAGGTATCAGGATCTATATAAGGGTTTCAGCTCTGGTCTCGGGAGACAGAAAGTCAAACTCTTTCTGCTGCAGCAAGGCTCCTCATCAAGATGGGCACCATGCACTACCTCCTGCTTTGTGCTCTCATCTTCCTGCCCGAGACTCCTGCTTTTCCACTACAACAAAGACCACAACCACTGAGCATCATAGACCTTGAGAAAGTAAAGGTATGGTACATGGGGGGAAACAATACTGCATTAGGAGTAATCTGATTTTGATTCAATTTCTACATTCCTTTCCTACCTACTTGTATTATCCTTGCCTTACATTACAACAACAGTTTTTGCAGACATGATATAAAACAGTTTAAACTTGCTGACTAGCTTAAACCTCTTAAGGCTAACTTTAAAAGGAGACCAACTTCCAACTGGTAAATAAAGAGAAGCATTTTACAAATAAGTCCAAAATTTTATGTGTACTGTTTTAGAAGGCTGTAGATTTGAATGCTCAGTAAATTGTGGTCACTTGACAGGATTTCTTACTTACAGTGTCTCATTGCTATTACGATTCCTCTTATATATGCTGATCTCTATTACTGAGAGCAGAATTTGGAAAATTGAAATGGAAAGATTCAACTAAACCCAGACATGAATGATACAGGATGAAGAAACAATTCAAACAAATGCAAAATGCAATTGCCAAAATATCACAGATATATGTATTAATCTTTATTTTCCCTCTCTCCTTCCAGGGATATCTTGATAAATTCTTTCCAATTTTGTCAAAAACACAAAACCTAAGCATAGAAGAAAGGATTAAAGAAATGCAGAAGTTTTTCCACCTGACTGTAACTGGAAAACTAGACAAAGAGACAGAAGAAATTATGACAATGCCCAGATGTGGTATGCCTGATGTAGCAGAATATCAAACATTTCCTGGAACTCCAAGATGGAAAAAGACACATTTAACTTACAAGTAAGTGAGGTTTCAGATTTTCTGGGGAAGGGGATTGCTCTGTATTTGACTAGGTGGGTTTCCCTCACAGCCTGAATGAAATTAACCTGCTTTTCTTTCCTGACAGGATTCTCAGTTATACACAGGACCTACCCAGACGGAAAGTGGAAGATGCAATTAGAAGGGCCTTGATGGTATGGAGTGATGTGACTCCACTGCAATTCCGAAAAGTTGACAGAGGCCGTGCGGACATTGAGATTAGATTTGCTCGTCGTGGTGAGAATACCTGTCCTTTTTAACATACATTGCTCCATGTTTTACTGAAAGCATGTATTTTTATAGCCATAGCTTTAAGAAAGAACAAAGAGTTGGGAATTAAATCAAAGTCTGCATAAATTTTATCTACTTTATATCATGCCACCAACTTTCTATGCCATTCTTCAATTTTACTCCTGTAAGAGAGTTATACAAATCCTTTCAGAGTCACAGCTGTGAAATTAAGGGAGAATTCAGCTCCAGAATGAGACACTTAAACTCAGATGTTCAAGGTGTTTTTGCCTTGATAAAATGTGCAAACTACAGAGAAGAGCTCTGTAGAGCAAATCATAGGCTTCTGAAAATCCAGCCTCCATAGGCTGCATTCAAGCAGCTTAAGGCCGGTTTACTCAGGCCTACACCAAGCCTGGTTCCCAGAATAAGCACACTTTGGCAGTTGGCTTGCATTATGTTTGGCCACAGAAAGTCTCTTCAGGTAGATTTGTTTCTAGAAGGAATGGTATGTTGCACCCCGAGATTGCACCAAGGTGCAGCGGTGTGGTAAGTGGGGTGAACAGAAGTCACTTCAGAAATCAATCTCTGATCTGGAGGGGTCTGGAGTAGTCTATAGACATAGCTCTGCCTTGAATGTGTGCCTGGCATGTAAAATGACAGCTTAGCCTGACTGAATGCCCACTTTAAGCTTGTCTGGCTTGTTCTCTAGATCCATTGACAATAATCAAAAAAGATCCATTGACTGGCAGTGCAGATCAGGCATGTGGCCTGCAAGCAGATGAGCACCAAAATGTCCAAAGCCTGTGTGTCACTGATGGCAAGAACATCAGGGTGCCATAAAGAGGTGATCTCATGTCCTAGACAAAGGCAGAACTGATTCTTCAAGCTGGAATGGGTTTTAATTCCATGTCACACACTAGAATTAGGTCTCTACTGCCTGCGTTAGTCGTGTCCTAAGGGCCATCCACATGGTCTGGTAGAAAGGACACAGGATGACATCTCATTTCCCAACCACACCTCAGTAAAGTCAGAGACTCACTATGAGGGAGAGGGTGATTTTCCAAGTTAGTTCAACTCTGATCCAGCTCTTGCACTTGAGGTAGGAAACAGCAATATTCCACCTGCACTATGACAGAAGTAGAGGATAGACCAGACCTCAAGGCTGGGAATAAATGAATTTATCTCTATAGAAACATGGTTATCTATCCAAAATCACCATCCACACTTAAACCAGCCTAAGTGAGACTGTCTGCAACTAATATTGTCCAGCACTTTTCAATATCAAACACATTCAGATATTAACAAAATTGTTGTCAAGCATTAAGTATTTATTCTGAAGTCATCCCTGATTTCAGCCTCAGGATCCCAATGCTGGCAAAAGGTCAGGGAAAAAATATTCAGCTCTTCCTGAAACTTGCAGCAGACCAAACTATCAAATACAAGATTTGAACTTAAGTCAGGAATTTGGAGAGTGCTTCCCTAAGCCTCACTTCTCATTTTCACAACCTTGCTGCCATTGTAAGATCATTTTAAGGATTGGCAACCAGCAAAACGAGTACAAACTACCAGCATCAGCATGCTTCTACTTGCTGAAGTTAAATATGACAACTGATCTCATCTGATGACATTGATTTATTTCAAATGCAGAACATGGAGATGGATCTCCTTTTGATGGAAGAGGTGGCACGCTGGCCCATGCCTTCGCACCTGGAGACGGGATTGGTGGAGATGCTCATTTTGATGATGATGAAAAATGGTCAGATGTCAATCAAGGTAAATCTCACATGTGTAGATGAAAGGGAAAGGCAAATATTGTACTTGCTGGAAGAACACAGCCACAGGAACTTGTCACAGACATGTTTTATGAAAAATCCTTTCCTTAGGATTTTTTTTCTCCTGAGAAGCTGAGAGGCCTCAGGAACAAAATGTAAACAATGATTATCTGCTGCTGTGGAATGCAACAGCTGGATCTGTGATCGGTCTCATGTGGTTGTTTCTAATTAATGGCCAATCACAGTCCAGCGGTCCAGACTGTCTCAGTCAATTGCAAGCCTTTGTTACCATTCCTTTTCTCTCCTTAACTAGCCTTCTGATGAAATCCCTTTTTCTATTCTTTCAGTAGAGTTTTAATGAATATATATAATAAAATAATAAATCAACCCTTCTGAAACATGGAGTCAACATTCTTGTCTCTTCCCTCATCCTAAGACCCCTGCAAACACCATCACAAGAACTGCTTTCCATTCCTATTCTTCCTTCAGTGCTACTTCAGTACAAACATTTCTATCCTTTTCAACTACCATTATAACTACTCCGGCTTCATTACCATGAACGCCTTCATAATGCCTGTTCTGTCCATCATTTAAAGCACTTTTTGCAGGCTAAACAAGGACTGGGAGCCCTTGATTCCTACATAAATTGTGAACAGGTAAATTGACTTGCTTCTAGGAATGCGGTCAACCAAAAGCAGAAAAGAGATACAAAAGAGACTCAGGGTCTCTAGATGCATATGCAAGGAATCAGTAGATTTTTTATAAAATATTACAGTAATAAAAGAAAGCTCAGCAAAAATGGATCGAAAGCCTGGAGTTTCATTTCAAGATGGATTGAAATATACAAATTCTCCTGCACTTTCAATTAATTGTATTTCAAAAAGAAATGCCATACATTTCATATCCATTTATGTGCTTGTATTTTGCAGATGTCAATTTGTTCCTCGTTGCTGCTCATGAATTTGGACATTCTTTGGGACTTGCTCACTCCAATGTCCGTGGAGCTCTCATGTACCCTCTCTACTCCTATCAGAACCCACAAACCTTCAGACTCCCGGCAGACGACAGGAGAGGAATTCAGAAGTTATACGGTAAAACTCATGAATAATTTGATTTTCAAGATAAAACCAACTGGGGTACAGCCTTCACTCTCCCTGATTGCAAGGGCCTCATCATGTTACCAAAAAGAAAGAAAGTGAACAAACTTGGGAAAAACCAACTCCTGCTTACTCTGTCCACTCACTATGTTGCCTCTGTAGCCTGCTCCCACTGCAGCCAAGAGGTGACAAAGCAGCAGTGCATGGCCTGCTGCTCTGTCCTCCCACACTCCTGCATTCCTCTGGCCCTTGCTCTGCAAATGAGCTCCTCCAGTGAGTGGTGCTCCCGGCAGGAAAGGAGAAGCACTGTGCCACTCACCAAGTTCAGTAAAGGCAGAAACTCCTCAGCAACAGGGGAACATAACTAGAATTGACCCCACAGGACAGAATTTGTCAGGTTTGCTTTTCTTTAGGCACTGCCCAACACAGGGCATGCTAAAGGAACACTAGGAAGAAAGCACAGTTGTCTGCATTGACAATTTTCAGTAGGTCTCTATGTTTTGTGTTTCTCTTCCACAGGGAAAAAGCCATCAAACTCTTGAAGAAAGTGCTTAACCAAGAGCAAAGAATTCACATCTCATTGGTTTGGTCTTCCAAAGCAAATTTAATCCTCCAGCTAATTAAGATGGTAAACTCCTGGGCTGCACTTTCTCTCACTGAATTTTTATGTTCATTTATTTGCATTTTATGCCATTTCACTTAACAAAAATAATAATAAAAAAATGTGTTCTCTGTTTTCTAAAGTTTTCTTTTTTCTTCCGGCATTTCACTGGGGCATTAAGTTACTCCTGCATGCATGATAGACAGTCAGACAAGTATCTTTGTGAAAAGGCTTATAGGTACCTAAAGTGCCTGTGTGCATTGACTGATGTCAGAACAGAACAGGGTTTGTTCTTACATCAGTGCCTTGCTTTCAATTCCCATGCATGTCCTGCCACTTCACAGTATTGACTCCTCAGAATCAGTGTGCTTCCCATACGGCTCACACATAGAGGAGGTCTCCACAGTGCTTCCTTCAGTCTGGGCTGCGACGTTTTCCCAAAGGGTAGAGCTTTTCATCATCATGTCCTCCCTGGCTTTCCAGAGAAGCAGGTTTGAGAAGCAGTGGACTGGGATTCCCATTGGCCTCTGGGATAGTCAAATTCCACTGGGTATTTCTAAATTTATTTTAAAAAAAAAGAAACAAGGAAAAAACCCCACAGGCATTCTGCCAAGGACATTCAAAATCTCCCCAATTCGCAAGGTAGAAGATGTATTTATTAATAGTTTCCGACAGACGGCTCCCTGTGCACAGAGATGAGGAGCATAAACACCAGCTCAGTGTCATGGCCAGCATCTTCAGTCTCCTAAACCAGTGTTATCCAGTACAAGTAATGACCTTAACCCAGCCCCCAGAGTTGACACAGCACAGCAGGGAACGTGGTGCTCACACAGCCCAACTCGCAGAACACAAAACACCTCTGAGAGCAAATATATCACCACTCTGACCAGTGACTATTTAACTAATGCAGTGGATACTTACAAAAAGTGTGGTTTAACATGCTCTGATCAGATCTATTTTTATCTCAACCCTTCCTGCCTCATGCTGAGTGATCCAAAAAGGACTGACACTGTCCAACCCAACAGGTAACCAAACACCACACTCACTATGCACCCCTCAGTGGGATGGGGAGAGAAATGCAGAAAAAAGGTAAAATAAAGGGGTAGAGACAACTCAATAAGACAGGAAAGGAAGCGGAAATAACAAAAAATAATAAATACAAAAAGAAGAAAGCAAAAGAAAGTTAAAGAAAAGACAAGGAAGAAGAGGAAGAAGAAGAGCAGGAAGATGAAGACGAGGATGAAGACGAGGACGAAGATGAAGATGAAGACAAAGAAGAAGAAGAAGAAGAAGAAGAAGAAGAAGATGAAGAAGAAGAAGAAGGAGAGAAATAGGAATAGGAATATACAAAGCAAATGATGCACAATAGAGTTGTTCACCACCCACAGACCAATGCCCAGATGGTGCCCAAGCAGAAACCTCTGTCCCGCTTTCCCTCTAGTTTATACACTGAATATGACATCCTGTGGTATGGAAAATCCCTCTGGCCAGTTTGGCTCCCAGCTGTGTCCCCTTTCAGCTTCTTATACCCCCCAGCTTCCTCACTGCTGGGCTGCTGTGTCAAGTTGAAGAGTCCTCACTCAATGTAAAGGCTGCTGAGCAACAACCAAAGCATCAGTGCGATATCAACGTTAGTTTGAAAATGTTCCTATCAGTTACCAGCCATTTCTTCCACACAAAGCTCAAAGATGAAGTAGCTGATGCTAAGTGTGGAGATTATACTGAGGACACAGCTGTCTTCAGGTGTGAGAAAAAATTTGAAGCCCCAGAATGGAGGGTCAGATCCAATCTGTGTTAAAGGCTATGAAGAAGGGCTCTCTGGGCTATGTGGATGCTCGATCCAAATGGGTTGATCTGCACTGTCCTGGAAAGATGCAGTTTGACAGAAAATACCCTCTGTTCCCTTGGCCAAAGTCCCCACAGGGAACAAAGCACAAAACAGAGACACACCATGCCCTTTATCAAGCTCAAGTCACTTGCTAAAGTTTCATAAAGAGAAAACAGCCATAGAAGATGGGCTTTATCAAAGACTCTGCAGAAAAAAACACTCCTAAGGCCACATAGAATAATTCATGGACAGTGCTGGAGGAGGCACTCTTATCAAATGAAGCCAGGAGAAGAAATGCTAGACTGAACGTAGCACGTTTGTTTCCTAGTGTACAATTAACATCCTTATGAACAGAGACAAATGCAATAGGACCCAGAAGCGTAGTCCTAGGAATACTGTCCTGACAATGGCACACATCTGGGAGACAGCTTCCTGTGACCACATGAGGTGACTGGCCTGCAGTAGGGCCAGCACAGGGGGCAGCAAGGCACCCTTGTGTCTTGAAGGATCCATCTCAAGAGAGGCAGCAGCACCAAGTTAGCATCACCGCAGCAAGTGAAATAAAATAGAAGTCAGGAATTTTGTCCTCAGAGACAGCCACTGATGAGGCTGCCAGCAGCATTTTACTTCCTGTTGAGCTCCCATTGCCTTTCCATCCCCATAAGGGACCTCTCCTTTGGGGAAAAGCGCTGCCATCGGCGCACCTCACCCTGCTGAGCAGGTGGGAACTGCGCAGCATTTGCCTCCGCCTAGTGGCACAGCTCGGCAAACTGCACTGGCTTTGCAGCCTGTTGTAAAGTGTGTGTCTTGTCTGCAAGCACACAGATGGGCAGGAACTACCACACAAACCATCGCTGGGGGAAATCAGAGGCAACAGCAATTTGGCAAACTTGCCCCTGCCTCTTCCTTCTTCCCTTTATCCCACTGCATTCTGTGTCAGTTTTTACATGCTCTCTCTAATACAACTCTAGGCACCTAATGCTACTCAAATAGCAACTTTCCCTCCTTTTCCACACCAAAGAAGAAATGGCAAACCACAACATTTAGTTTGTTGGGGATTTGAATTTTTACTTGCTTTTACTACTGTTTTTTTAAATAAATTATCTTTAAATTTATGCTTGCTGTTCCAGATAGTACAATAAGCAGCAAATGAATTCTCAAATGTGTTAACATTTTTCACAGGTCCTTTGACCATGAACATTTAAAGGATAAACCCTACTCCTGCACTATCTAGAAATGCTATTATGGGGACTTACCCAGTCACTTAGGTACCCTGAGCCCACTCCATCAACACAGACTGATATTCTGAGAGGGCAAAATCAATAACTGCTATACCTGGTATTAACAAGGGAATAAGATCTCGGAAAAGTAAAATTAATGATACCAGCAGCCTTACCAGTGCTTATCAAAGCTGTCACACATAAAAAGTCCAAGATATGTGATGGGAAAGATCTGATGAGATGCAAAAGTGCAAGTATGCCTTGCCCCATTGATGTCCTCTTGATTTTTTTCTTCACAGTGTAAACTGCAAATTTAATCCCAAATCTTTAATCTTCAAATTTAAAGCATTTGAAGATGCCTTTTCCTTTTTTGTTTTTATAAAATTAGATCTTCAACCTGCCTCAGACAGGATGCTCTTAATGCCATCATTATGATGTTTTCAGTTTCAGAAATGCCAGTATGAAGTAGCTCCACTGACATCAGTGGAATTATTTGGAATTAATCTACTAGAGTAAAAATGTGAGCAAAGGACTAGAGAAAATATTAAGGGGTGAAAATTGTTACTGTTTTCTGTCAACCCTAAAGTGTACAGACAATAAAACAAAAATCATAGAGAGAAGCAGTAGGCTGCTCTGGTATATAGAAAAATATGGAAGTCTATCCACATCAGGGAAACAGAAAACATTAGAGGTCTTCTACTTGGTGACATGCAATGATCTGACAGAGCTGCTGTCCTGTGGGCAGTGAGAGAGTCACTATTTCTTGCAACTCAAAAAACAACACAACCCAAATAAAACGTTGCGGAAGATTTGCAAAGAAGAAGGATGTGTTTTTACACAGCAAGCAAGTCAGCTCTGAAATTCATTGAAAGCATATTCAAGGGAACTGATGACACAAATTCATAACTAGAATTTTAAAAGTGAGTCACATGCGTAATTGCTGCTTGGAGGTATCAGGATCTATATAAGGGTTTCAGCTCTGGTCTCGGGAGACAGAAAGTCAAACTCTTTCTGCTGCAGCAAGGCTCCTCATCAAGATGGGCACCATGCACTACCTCCTGCTTTGTGCTCTCATCTTCCTGCCCGAGACTCCTGCTTTTCCACTACAACAAAGACCACAACCACTGAGCATCATAGACCTTGAGAAAGTAAAGGTATGGTACATGGGGGGAAACAATACTGCATTAGGAGTAATCTGATTTTGATTCAATTTCTACATTCCTTTCCTACCTACTTGTATTATCCTTGCCTTACATTACAACAACAGTTTTTGCAGACATGATATAAAACAGTTTAAACTTGCTGACTAGCTTAAACCTCTTAAGGCTAACTTTAAAAGGAGACCAACTTCCAACTGGTAAATAAAGAGAAGCATTTTACAAATAAGTCCAAAATTTTATGTGTACTGTTTTAGAAGGCTGTAGATTTGAGTGCTCAGTAAATCGTGGTAACTTGACAGGATTTCTTACTTACAGTGTCTCATTGCTATTACGATTCCTCTTATATTTGCTGATCTCTATTACTGAGAGAGCAGAATTGGGTACATTGAAATGGAAAGATACAACTAAACCCAGACATGAATGATGCAGGATGAAGAAACAATTCAAACAAATGCAAAATGCAATTGCCAAAATATCACAGATATATGTATTAATCTTTATTTTCCCTCTCTCCTTCCAGGGATATCTTGATAAATTCTTTCCAATTTTGCCAGAAACACAAAGCCTAAGCATAGAAGAAAGGATTAAAGAAATGCAGAAGTTTTTCCACCTGACTGTAACTGGAAAACTAGACAAAGAGACAGAAGAAATTATGACAATGCCCAGATGTGGTATGCCTGATACAAAATACCCAACATCTGCTGGAATTCCAAGATGGAAAAAGACACATTTG